CGGAAAAAAAATTAGCTGATACGGAAAAAAAATTAGCTGATACGGAAAAAAAATTAGCTGATACGGAAAAAAAATTAGCTGATACGGAAAAAAAATTAAACATTTTTCCCTCCGAAAGCGACCTTTCTTTAATTGAAAGAGTTTACCGGGAACTCAAAGAACTTATTACCGAAGAATTAAGAATTAAGGTTGAAGAACAAAAAGAAGGAACATTAGCCACCTTTATTAAAGATAAAATTAAAGAAGAGGGAAAAAGGAATATCTTCAACGACAAATGGAACAGCAATGTGCAAGAGATTAATGAAGGTATAATAAAAATTTTTTCGCAAGAAGTGTTAACCGGGAGAAAAGACAGAAAAAAAGAAGAAGGAGAGTTGGGTTATTTAAATGCGTTCAACGAAAATCTTCAAATAATTTCAAAAGAACTCGAAAGAAAGGAAAAAGAAAGACAAGCAGAGAAAGCGGAAAGGAAAAAAAAGAAAAGGGAAAGAGAAGAGGAAGAAAAGAAAGAGAGGGAAAAGATTTCAGGCAAAGTCGGTGGATCTAACAATTTTGTAGAAAAAGCGAATCAGGAAAACCCTAATTCTATTAATAATTTTCTTGTGTTTTCTTGTGTTTTCTTAGTAGCAATCGTTGTTGCAGTTATTCTTTTAGCTTTTTCAGAACCGAAAAAAAGAGGAAAGAAAGAGGAAACCAAAAAATCTGCGGCAGTTGCTAAAAAAAGGAGATAAAATATTTTAGTAAAGTATTGTTGAGAAAAATCGGAACTGTCGCCAAGGAGCCAAGGCCGCAGTCTGCAAAACTGCTATTTCGTCGGTGCAAGTCCGACCAGTTCCTCCAATTGCGCTTGTAGCTCAGGGGACGAGAGCGTTTGACTTCGGATCAAAAGGTCGTGGGTTCAAATCCTACCAAGCGTGCCAGAAAAATGAACTAAAAAAATGGATGGAAATTAAAATCATCACCCAAGCAAGAAAAAAATTACGAGGCTACCGGATTATTAAGGAATTTATTAGTGGTTTAGTGCTGAGCGGCCAAGAAATAAAATCTCTTCGCAATTACCAAAGTTCGATTGATGAAGCGTATGTTATGCCCCAAGACGGCGAGGTATATATTGTTAATATGAATATTACTCCTTATAAGTATTCTCGTGGTGATAATTTCGGGGGCAAAAGAAAAAGAAAGTTGCTTCTTACTCGTCAGGAAATAAAGGATTTAATTTATCAAACTCGGGCGAAAAGTTATGTGATTATTCCTGTGACATTATTCATTAACCAGAGAGGATGAGCCAAATTAAAGATTGCTCTGGCCCAACATTTAAGAAAATACCAAATTAAAGAAAAGATTAAAGAAAAAGAAATAAGGAGAAAGATTAAGAAAAAGGATTTTTGGTAAACAAAACATCGTAAAAAAGCATGAAATCTTATGTTTTTTTATTTTTCTCTCCTTGAAGATAGCAACTAAATAATTCTCGGTATTCTTCGGGATTTAATTGGTGAGGACGGATATTGAATTGATAATTTTTACGACGAAAATGTTTTTCTCATTCGTGGGAATGAGAAAAGTTTAACAAATTATTTCAGAGTGTTTTGCGGCGAAACCGGAAACAATTCTGAGCGAAACTTAGAAAAGACCGTAATTTTTCTGGTTCGGCGTTGATAGTAGAGCGGATCTTTAGAACTACGACAGTTCCTTCCACTGCCGAGGATGGGGTAAAAACTGAACCGGGAATATCGCAAGTCCAGTGAGTAGTAGTAAGACAATTGATAAAAACTGATAAGGCTGAATACTCTTGTGGTTTGGCTAATCAGCGGAAGGCTACTTCTTTTTGCACTAAAAAAACCAAGGTGTCAAAAAATCGGTAATTGATTAGTAGATTGATTATTAAAGAATTGGAAATGTAATAAGGCAGATTACCAACTACTACGAGTGAGCCAAGGGGGTATTTTCGGCAAAATTCTGGCCAATTAATTTGTAAAGCATCATCCAACAAATAAGTAATTTTTTTATTTGGATTGTTGTCGACTAATCATTGCCATAATTTCGGGTCCTTTTCGAAACTGATAACTTTTTGACAATTAGTCGCACCCAATAATTTAGTTAAAGACCCATAGCCACTACCAATTTCGATTATTGTAGTGTTCGGATCAATCGGACACCGAGCTACAATTTTTTGAAGATAAGCCGGTTCGAAAAGAAAATTTTGCCCCCACTTTTTACGGGGAAAGAAAGGTAAATATTTTTTCACAGTTTAAAAATTTACTACCATTTTTGATTTTGTTATTTAAAAGATTTTTTTCCTTCTTCGTCTTTTCTTAAAAAATAAAAAAATATCTGTTTTTATGCCTGTTCCTAATGATGATATTCAAAAAAGAATGAGAGAAATTATTGCTTGACTAGAAAAATGAAATCGCGAGTATCACGATTTTAATGAGCCAACAATTGAAGATAGAGCTTACGACCAATACCTCAAAGAATTAGAACGGTTGGAAAAAGAGTATGATTTTATTTTTCCTAACTCGCCTACCAAAAAAATCGGTTATTCTCGAAGTGAAAAATTAGCCCCAGTTTATCGGAAAATACCTATGTTAAGTTTGGATAGTGTTGATAGTTTTGAAGAATTACTACGTTTTGATGAAAGAACAAAAAAAACCCTAAAAAATAAGGGAGATATTGAGTATCTTTGTGAGTGAAAGATTGATGGTTTATCAGTTAGTCTTAATTATCAAAATCACCGCTTAGTTCAAATCAGCACACGAGGAAACGGTTTAGTAGGGGAAAACGTGACTTTCAACCGGGATTTAATAAAGAACATCCCTTTTTTTTTTACCTGGAATTAGCGATTGTGAAGTGCGGGGTGAAGTTTACATGAAAAAAGAGGAATTTTCTCGACTTAATAAGGAGTTGGCAGAAAATAGCAGTCGATTACTAGCCAATCCTCGTAATGCGGCCGCCGGAAGTTTAAGAGCCCTCGTTCCCTTACAAGACAGACGTTTACATTTTTTTGCTTACTGATTATTTTTGGGGGAAAATTCGCAGTCACAGGTTAACAAAGTAGAAAGTCAACTGGAATGTTTACAACAATTAGAAAAATTGGGATTTGCAGTTAGCCCTGATTACCGTCGGGTTTCTAATATCAGGGAAGCCCAAAAGTTAATTCATCAGCAGGAAAAAAAACGAGAAGATTTGAATTTTGAAAATGATGGAATTGTGATAAAAGTAAATGATTGTTCTTATTATGAATTACTAGGCCAAACCAGCAAATTTCCTCGCTGAGCCGTAGCTTACAAGTTTCCGGCTTCGACGATTACTAGCCAAATCAAAAATATTTATACACAAGTAAGTCGAGGAGGACGTATCACTTATGTGGCCGAAATAATTCCAGTAACGTTGCTAGGAAGCAAAATGCGTTAGGAAATTGATGGTCTTTTGTGGGCAATTATCATTAACACAAATCTGATAGATATTACTCGAATTTCATTGTAAAATCTCGGAACAAGAGGGACAATTTTGGGCTGGCAACCAAGGCAAATGACTACTTGACTTAATAACTTGACTGACTTGGGGGAATTACATCACCCGCCTTTTTGATTACCACTTCATCGCCAATATTGAGTGACAAATTACGAATAAAAGCATAGTTATGGAGAGTGGCTTTGCTTATTTTGCTTCCTAGCAACGTTACTGGAATTATTTCGGCCACATAAGTGATACGTCCTCCTCGACTTACTTGTGTATAAATATTTTTGATTTGGCTAGTAATCGTCGAAGCCGGAAACTTGTAAGCTACGGCTCAGCGAGGAAATTTGCTGGTTTGGCCTAGTAATTCATAATAAGAACAATCATTTACTTTTATCACAATTCCATCATTTTCAAAATTCAAATCTTCTCGTTTTTTTTCCTGCTGATGAATTAACTTTTGGGCTTCCCTGATATTAGAAACCCGACGGTAATCAGGGCTAACTGCAAATCCCAATTTTTCTAATTGTTGTAAACATTCCAGTTGACTTTCTACTTTGTTAACCTGTGACTGCGAATTTTCCCCCAAAAATAATCAGTAAGCAAAAAAATGTAAACGTCTGTCTTGTAAGGGAACGAGGGCTCTTAAACTTCCGGCGGCCGCATTACGAGGATTGGCTAGTAATCGACTGCTATTTTCTGCCAACTCCTTATTAAGTCGAGAAAATTCCTCTTTTTTCATGTAAACTTCACCCCGCACTTCACAATCGCTAATTCCAGGTAAAAAAAAAAGGGATGTTCTTTATTAAATCCCGGTTGAAAGTCACGTTTTCCCCTACTAAACCGTTTCCTCGTGTGCTGATTTGAACTAAGCGGTGATTTTGATAATTAAGACTAACTGATAAACCATCAATCTTTCACTCACAAAGATACTCAATATCTCCCTTATTTTTTAGGGTTTTTTTTGTTCTTTCATCAAAACGTAGTAATTCTTCAAAACTATCAACACTATCCAAACTTAACATAGGTATTTTCCGATAAACTGGGGCTAATTTTTCACTTCGAGAATAACCGATTTTTTTGGTAGGCGAGTTAGGAAAAATAAAATCATACTCTTTTTCCAACCGTTCTAATTCTTTGAGGTATTGGTCGTAAGCTCTATCTTCAATTGTTGGCTCATTAAAATCGTGATACTCGCGATTTCATTTTTCTAGTCAAGCAATAATTTCTCTCATTCTTTTTTGAATATCATCATTAGGAACAGGCATAAAAACAGATATTTTTTTATTTTTTAAGAAAAGACGAAGAAGGAAAAAAATCTTTTAAATAACAAAATCAAAAATGGTAGTAAATTTTTAAACTGTGAAAAAATATTTACCTTTCTTTCCCCGTAAAAAGTGGGGGCAAAATTTTCTTTTCGAACCGGCTTATCTTCAAAAAATTGTAGCTCGGTGTCCGATTGATCCGAACACTACAATAATCGAAATTGGTAGTGGCTATGGGTCTTTAACTAAATTATTGGGTGCGACTAATTGTCAAAAAGTTATCAGTTTCGAAAAGGACCCGAAATTATGGCAATGATTAGTCGACAACAATCCAAATAAAAAAATTACTTATTTGTTGGATGATGCTTTACAAATTAATTGGCCAGAATTTTGCCGAAAATACCCCCTTGGCTCACTCGTAGTAGTTGGTAATCTGCCTTATTACATTTCCAATTCTTTAATAATCAATCTACTAATCAATTACCGATTTTTTGACACCTTGGTTTTTTTAGTGCAAAAAGAAGTAGCCTTCCGCTGATTAGCCAAACCACAAGAGTATTCAGCCTTATCAGTTTTTATCAATTGTCTTACTACTACTCACTGGACTTGCGATATTCCCGGTTCAGTTTTTACCCCATCCTCGGCAGTGGAAGGAACTGTCGTAGTTCTAAAGATCCGCTCTACTATCAACGCCGAACCAGAAAAATTACGGTCTTTTCTAAGTTTCGCTCAGAATTGTTTCCGGTTTCGCCGCAAAACACTCTGAAATAATTTGTTAAACTTTTCTCATTCCCACGAATGAGAAAAACATTTTCGTCGTAAAAATTATCAATTCAATATCCGTCCTCACCAATTAAATCCCGAAGAATACCGAGAATTATTTAGTTGCTATCTTCAAGGAGAGAAAAATAAAAAAACATAAGATTTCATGCTTTTTTACGATGTTTTGTTTACCAAAAATCCTTTTTCTTAATCTTTCTCCTTATTTCTTTTTCTTTAATCTTTTCTTTAATTTGGTATTTTCTTAAATGTTGGGCCAGAGCAATCTTTAATTTGGCTCATCCTCTCTGGTTAATGAATAATGTCACAGGAATAATCACATAACTTTTCGCCCGAGTTTGATAAATTAAATCCTTTATTTCCTGACGAGTAAGAAGCAACTTTCTTTTTCTTTTGCCCCCGAAATTATCACCACGAGAATACTTATAAGGAGTAATATTCATATTAACAATATATACCTCGCCGTCTTGGGGCATAACATACGCTTCATCAATCGAACTTTGGTAATTGCGAAGAGATTTTATTTCTTGGCCGCTCAGCACTAAACCACTAATAAATTCCTTAATAATCCGGTAGCCTCGTAATTTTTTTCTTGCTTGGGTGATGATTTTAATTTCCATCCATTTTTTTAGTTCATTTTTCTGGCACGCTTGGTAGGATTTGAACCCACGACCTTTTGATCCGAAGTCAAACGCTCTCGTCCCCTGAGCTACAAGCGCAATTGGAGGAACTGGTCGGACTTGCACCGACGAAATAGCAGTTTTGCAGACTGCGGCCTTGGCTCCTTGGCGACAGTTCCGATTTTTCTCAACAATACTTTACTAAAATATTTTATCTCCTTTTTTTAGCAACTGCCGCAGATTTTTTGGTTTCCTCTTTCTTTCCTCTTTTTTTCGGTTCTGAAAAAGCTAAAAGAATAACTGCAACAACGATTGCTACTAAGAAAACACAAGAAAACACAAGAAAATTATTAATAGAATTAGGGTTTTCCTGATTCGCTTTTTCTACAAAATTGTTAGATCCACCGACTTTGCCTGAAATCTTTTCCCTCTCTTTCTTTTCTTCCTCTTCTCTTTCCCTTTTCTTTTTTTTCCTTTCCGCTTTCTCTGCTTGTCTTTCTTTTTCCTTTCTTTCGAGTTCTTTTGAAATTATTTGAAGATTTTCGTTGAACGCATTTAAATAACCCAACTCTCCTTCTTCTTTTTTTCTGTCTTTTCTCCCGGTTAACACTTCTTGCGAAAAAATTTTTATTATACCTTCATTAATCTCTTGCACATTGCTGTTCCATTTGTCGTTGAAGATATTCCTTTTTCCCTCTTCTTTAATTTTATCTTTAATAAAGGTGGCTAATGTTCCTTCTTTTTGTTCTTCAACCTTAATTCTTAATTCTTCGGTAATAAGTTCTTTGAGTTCCCGGTAAACTCTTTCAATTAAAGAAAGGTCGCTTTCGGAGGGAAAAATGTTTAATTTTTTTTCCGTATCAGCTAATTTTTTTTCCGTATCAGCTAATTTTTTTTCCGTATCAGCTAATTTTTTTTCCGTATCAGCTAATTTTTTTTCCG